ACTTGTTCATTGGGTGGCTCAATTGTAACTACTGGTTCATCAGGGACTACCGCCTGCGATTCCGGTCGGGTCCAAACCGGTTGCGCTTCGTCGTCTTTGACATTTTTCACTGGTTCTTTGCTGGTCGACGTATACCTTGATTCATTCACGATGACATCACGAACAAGAAACACCTTCTGCTTGTGGCTGTCCCACAAACGATACCCGTTCGAGCGATCGAAGCTAAACGCGCGTAGCCAGGTATGTTACTTCGTGGGCTAACATACCTGGCTACGCGCGTCTAGCTTCGATCGCTTCTCCTTGGGAATGAAGTTGTAGGCTTTGCTCCCCCAGATGCGGAGTTTTGACACGTCTGGTTTGTGCACGTACCACATCTCGTACGGCGTCTTCTTGTTCAACGCCATCGTCGGGCTCCGATTGACGATGTACACCGCCGCTTGAACTGCTTCGCCCCAAAGCTTCTTCGGTAGGCCAGAATCTTGAACCATCGCCCTCGCTTTGTCCTGGATCGTCCGGTTCAAACGCTCGCTTACGCCGTTCTACTGTGGCGTGTATGGAACGATGTACTCCACTAGCATTCCACGGTCTCGGCAGTACTGCTGGAACTCGTTGCCGACGTTGTCGCACCTAAGGCGACGGATCTTGCTGTCGAAATGCCCCTCAGCCATGCTCGCGTACTGCTTGAAGACCTCCAGTACCTCATTTTTCGCCGCAAGGATGTATACGGCGCTAAAATGGGTAAAATCGTCGGTGAATGTAACGAAATACCTTTTTCCGTTCCAGGCTGTCGGGGTCAGGAAACCGCACACGTCACTGTGTACCAGCTCCAACGGCTTGTTGGATCTCGGTACTGGTATGTCTCGCATGCTTCCCAAGCACACAAGGTTCACACACTTCGTTGTCTTGAAATGCGTCCTTCCTCAGCACCATGCCGTTGACCATCTCGTTGCGCACCAGAGTCTTCAGACCACTCTTGCCAATGTGGCCGAACCTCCGATGCCACAGCTTGTACTCGTTCACCGGCAAGGCTACCAGAGCGCTCCATCCACTGGTCCACGCTTCACGGTGGCGTTCAGCACGTACGGCTTGCCGGACAATTTACCAGTGGTAACCACTTCGCTGCCGTGCTTGATTTCCACAGCATCACCTTCAAACGTCACACGCATCCCAAACTTGTCGAAGCGCCGAATGGAAAACAGGTTGTACTGCAGTTCCCGCACGTACAGGACGTCATTCACCACGCTGCTGATTTGACGCTTTCGGACCATCGAGACCATGCTTACCGTGCCGGAGTGATAGCTGTACACGACCTTCCCGGAGGCCACCACGATTGGCACCGGATTGTCCAGCTTCACCACGTCTCGAAGGCAATCCGCTGAATGCACCATGTGTTCGGAGGCACCTGAATCGAGAATCCACCAGAACTGACTCAGACTCCCACCGTCACGCTTCGCTTCACCGTCCGACTCCGTTACAAACGCCACTCCGGACCCAGCGACGTTGGCCTTTTCCTTCCTCTTCGGCTTCCCGGACGACTTCCGTTGGTCCAAGTCCTTCTTCATGGGGCAGTTTGCGCATTTGTGACCCACTTTGCCACAGGAAAAACACTTCATCTTGGGCCGCTCACTGAAAAACGCCGACTCACCATCCAGAGTGCCTTCCGGTTCGTAGTTGTTCTGACGCTTCACGTTTTCACTCAGCAACCTGGCCTTCACAAATTCGAATGTGCACTGCTCCGCCGGCAGGGTTTCGAGGACTGTCACCAGCTGCTGGAACGATTTCGGTATGGTTTGCAGCAAATTGAACACCACCAGCCGCTCGTGCATCACGATGCCCGCCGAGCCCAGCTCCTGGATGATCCTCTCGAACCGCAGCAGGTGCTCTTCCATCGGTTCCGCTTCGCTGTACTTCATTACGGCCAGTTGCTTCAGTAGGTAAAACTGGCCGGAAATTCCCTTCTTCGCGAACAAGTTCTGCAACGTTGCCCACATCGACTTCGGAGTAGACTTGACCTTGATGTACTCCAGCTGCGAATCTGCGATCTTCTCCACCAGCAACGACTTGCAACGAGCTTCCAGAAGTTTCCGCTCCGCCAGCTTCGTCTCCCTCTGCGCCTTTACCTGTGCCGTATCCGTTTCAGCCACTTGGATCTCCGGAATTTCGTCCGCTTCTCGCCGGATGCAATCGATTAGCTGCCGCTCCTCCAATAACGTCTCCATCCGGAAACTCCAGTTAGGGAAGTTCTTCCCGTCGAAAAGGTAGGGCTTCTGTTCCGCTTGCATTCTTCCGGTTCTTCGTGAAAAAAAAAAATTTCTTCGACTAACAATCTTCCGTTTCCAAGGGTTACAGGATGGCTGGGGCCATAACCTGTCGTGATAGTAGAGAGTTATGGAAAGACGACTACTTCTGTCGAAGAATAATTAGAAGAATGATTTATTTAACTTCAAACTCAAACGCATGGCTACTACGATCTAACATATCTTAATAGAGCTACTACGATCGGTTTGCTCGTTCTTGACACGTTTCATCGAACCGGTTGATGTCCGTACTGTAATGACGGGAGTGACTCCATCGTCGTCTCACGCTTACTTCAGCTTACTCACCGGGTGAGTCGATCGTACTCAATATCGTCTGATGCATTAGGTTGTCAAAATCTGAGTAAACGAGAAATGTCAAACTGAGTAAAAGCCACTCAGTCAGCCGAATTCGTAACTAAGAAAAAAAAAATGCCAGCTGTGTCGGAGCAAACGATCTAAGAAACGGTGAAATTATTGTATAACACTGACCGAAATGAATTAAGGTAAGTAGGAATTGCATGCGAAGACAGTTTTCAGTCGTCTTCAGCTGTAGTTAAATGAACCTGGAGCAGGTAATTTCCATTTTTTATCAAAACAAATAAAAAAAAGAAACTTCCCGGCTGAAAATATCACAGAGTGGTTTTGACTCACTCTGCGCGAGAACGTTGTTTACTCAAAAGTGAGTAAAAATGCATCTTCCTGCTGAAATGAGCATGTTCGACTCAATTTTGAGTTGTTGCGAGTTACCGTGCTGGGTTAAGTTTTTGTATACGGCCCATCTTCCATTGTGTGGATGGTTGATTTGTGTCGACAATAACAACAAGTCTGTCGATTTGCATTTCTACTGCTGGCTGCCAATGTTTTGATCGTGTTTGAAACTGCGTTAAATATGCGAGACGCCAACGTATTCAGAAATCTTGGAGCTGCCGCTGGACCAATTGCCATCGAGTGAGGTGATTCATATGGACATCACGTAAATCTGGATTTGGCATAGTCAGCCCAGTGGCAAGTGCGTAGACAACACGTTATACTGTGACAACGGGCACAGCACAGCAAAATAAATGTTTTGGGCCCGGGACATGCTGCCTACTGTCAAACTCTGTTGTTAGTATAGGCCTTGTCACTGGCCTGGGCATAGTAAGCAGTGAACCTCCAGTCAAGAAGTGTGCTGGTGCTAACGCTTCTAGTTCTAATGGATCATCGGCTAGAGCTGTCAATGGTCTTGAGTTTAAACAGCCTTCTACCTGTGCTAGCAGAGTGACAAAGTCTTCTTGTGATACAGGATTGCTACCGAGAACTCGTAGAAGGTGGAACTTCGCCGAACGTTCCGCTGCCTCCCATAACCCACCGAAATGTGGGGCACTCGGAGGGTTGAAATGCCAAAAAATGCCTTCATTCGCACATTCTTTTGACACTGTCTCACGATGTTCTTTGCCTTTCAGTAACGCGATCAGATCCTGAATTTGATTCCTGGCACCAACAAAGTTTGTACCATTGTCCGAGTAAATATCCGTACTCCGTCCTCGGCGGGCAAAGAATCTTCGTAACGCTTGAAGAAACCGTTCTGCCGACACATCAGAGATGAACTCCATATGAACCGCTTTCGTTGCCATGCACACGAAGATCGCAACAAAGCCATTGGCCGGTTGTCGTCCACGTCCTGCTCGGGTATGGGCTGGTCCGAAGAAATCGACACCAGTCTTGGAAAACGGTTTCGAAACCGTAACTCGAAAACAACGCTGGCACTGACGAACAACCTTTCGCGCAAGATTTCTACCACCTAGTGGCCAATATCGTTGCCGAACCGTACTCAAAAGTAGTTGAGGCCCAGCGTGAAGATGTTTGCGGTGATAGAAGCGTAAAACGAATTCCGTGAATAAATGTCTAGTGGGTAAAACCATCGGGTGTTTTGTCTGTTGTGATTCAAGTGCGCTAGTCTACCACCAACTCGCAGGATACCGTTTTCATCGATTCGAGGGTTAAACCATTCCGCTTGCACTTTCCGGATAATCGCGTATTCTGTCCGTCTTTGTTCTCCTGGACACCGTAAGTTGTCCATGAAGCGTAGCCAGTAAGCTGTTGTGCGAATTAGCCTAGTAAACGATGAGAACTTCACTAAGTAATCCGAAACGAATTCTCTTTTCATCGACGAAGCGCAAACCACCACATTGCGTCGTCGTTCGAAATCTTCTTCTGGTGGGTTTCCAGCTCCTTTAGACCATTCTTCAGGAGGATCCTCTAACCAGGTGGGTCCATGCCACCATAAGTCGTGCTCGAGAATATCCTTCGGAGCGATTCCGCGTGAAATTAGGTCAGCGGGATTGGTGCTTCCCGAAACATGTTTCCCTCTGTCAGCGCTTGAATTTTGGCGACCCTGTTGCCACGAAAGTGGGCCACATTCCTGGAGAAGAACGAATCCAGTGGAGAACACAGGTTGAGACCGACCAGAAGTTAACGCTGCCGTCTGCTTTCAGAGATTCCGCTACCTTTTACCCAAGGTTGAGCCACTAGAAGAGCACCACATAGCTCCAACCGTGGCAGTGATTGAGGTGCTACCTTTGATTTCGAGGTCAGAAGGTGCACCGAAACCGAACCATCTTGTCGTTTACTCCGAACGTAGATTGTGGCACCGTAAGCGAGAATTGATACATCTGAGAAGCAGTGGTATTGCACGGGCACCGCTCTTGGTGCTATGCCACACCGTTATATGCGAATCATGTTCAGTGCAGGAATTTGCTTGTGAAATGCTCGCAATTCCTCACCCACCGTTCCAGGTAGTGGGTCGTCCCATTGCAGACATTGCCCGTGTTCTCCCTTCAACCACAAGAGCATTTGCATGAACATTTTTGCTGCTGTGATCGTCGCACCGAGCAGTCTCAGTGGATCAAACAATTTCGCAATGAAGCAGAGCACTTGTCGCTTCGTTAGGATCTGGTCATCCGTTTGTGGTGGTATCGTGAACGAGAACTTGAAACAGTCCACGTTGGGAACCCAGGTCAAACCCAATGTTTTCACCTCTGCATCCTGGTCCCAGTCGATCCCATTAGAATCCGGTAGCGCCAAATTCTCCTTCGGAATGTCTTCAAGAACAGAGGGACAGTTGGAGGCCCATTTGAATCCTCCACGGTTCATCATTGCGTCGATTTGTCGCCTCAATTCGACCGCAGATTCGGCGTCGTCCGCTCCAGACATAACGTCGTCCATATGCACGTCCTCTTCTACTGCTGGTGCAGCCAAGGGGAACTGCTCTCGTTCGTCACTTGCCAGCTGCTTCAACGTACGAGTCACCTGATATGGTGCTGATTTGGTGCCATATGTCACCGTCAGCAGTTCATACGCTACAACGCTTCCATCGGTCCCCAACCAAAGAACGCATTGAAGAGGAGTTTCGATCAAGTTCGGCCAAATCTGTCGGGACATATTCTCAATGTCGGCTACAACCATGACCTGACGTGTACCCTGCCCATGTGTGTTGAATGGGTGCGATTAAAGAGCCTGAATTTATAAAGAGATCTTATCAATTTGACAGGTCTTCTGCTCGATTGGCTTTTCCTATGACTTTGACAGACAATCGATTGTTTTTCAATTTTGCCATTTCGTCTCTTTATAAATTCAGGTTTTTTAGGAGCGATATCTTACGCAGGTGTGGAAGCTGCCTTCCTGCACATTCGATTGCCGTTCATGGATGTCAATCGATATCCGTCGGTGATTGGCACTAGATTGCGGAACAGAGATTGACGTTAAATAGAGGAAAGAAGAAAAGAAGAGCATTAAGAAGGATTCTGCTTGCTGAATTGTAAAAGTAACCACACGTATGCCAATATTTACTAAGCTCAGTTTGAAGACTAAAGCTAATCCGTTGTATGAAATAAATCAGTTTAAAGTAAACTTCACTGGGGTGTTTCCCGACCCATTATTTTCATTCTCATTTTTTAGTGGACACCCGTTAGTAGAGGGGACTGATTGCTCGTGGTTTTCTCGAGGTTAGAAAGGACAACTTTTTTTTTTGGGTTCGATCAGGGGAGGAGCATGGAAATGGGGTACCGTTGTCTCAACAGAGAGTTGTCGCCAGCACTATACCGTTGTGCATTGTGACGGTCAGACTCATCGAGATGAAGTCACATGACAAACAGGTAATGGAATTAAATGGAAATTACTAATCCTTCTATCTTTCTTTACAATAATAAGTTGAAATGACGGATCATATTAGGTTTAACTTTTCCACCAGCTTGAGCCCAACATTATCTCTCCTTACTGCAACGCTGAACCCATCGAACAATCATTCATCAATGCAGACAGGCAGTTCAGAATGGTCGGAATCGATTGAACTGCTGCTGTCGGAGTATAATGAAAGGGTTGTGGTTTTTTACGTGGTATATAAATTCAATTTTCCACCATCACACCGATGAGTTAGTACAGCTGCCTCGACATCAGCATGGATATTGGGAATGGATGGAAACGGAATAATTTACGGCTCGGGGGCGTAGAATCAGCAACAAATTTTCACCATTTCACCCTGACATAAATTAGTCTGATAGTATCACATGTTGATGGCACTTGCGATTTTATGATCCCATTAATTCGCATGTACTCAAAGCGACCACCTCCTTCATCCCGCCCAAACCAACACTCTGTTCAAATAAATTAGCAACTGCTGCAGAGATAACGTGTTTGCTCGATGTTTCAGGGTTACAATGATAAAGCCGGCCTGAGTTTCATCAAGATAATCACAGTGACGATCATTCCAATGCCCGATACCACCGATTCCAAGAACAAAAAACTATCATTGCCAAGGTTCGCACTCTGGGGATTAATTTCTCCATCCATCGGAAAATCTTACCCTGCCAGTGAAGCTCCCCCGTTTTCTAGCAAAAACTTGAAAGAGAATACTTTCGAAATTAAAAAACTTTACTCCTTCGAGAGATCGATCGGTTTCATTGTTTCCATTGGCCGCCATCGTCTATCCAGCCTTTCGACGCTTCCGCAACACGGTCAAGAGAATAATCGGCGTCGTCTTTTGCCCTAGTACTTTCCCCGAACAGGACCGCAGTCCAGCGGGGCACGGCCCGGAATGAGCTGCAACATTTTCCTAGTGAAAGTTTCTCGATTCGGTTTCCACGAGCCACAGCAGTGGGCGGCACACAATGAGGGAGGATAATTGCCAATAATCACAGCATTCGGTGAACGTTACTTAACTACGAATATTTTTTTTTTCTCGTTTCGTGGAAGCAAAGTCGAATTTTCCTCTCAAGATTGAAGTGGTAGACCTAAAGGGTGAATATCGAAATCTCATTCCTGGAAGAACTTTTTTCTTATTTGCGTTATTTAAAGTTGGTCTCTGTTCGAGTGTCAATCGCCAGGGGCTAGGGAGTGTGACTACACACCGGAACCTACATATCGAAACCGTCATCACAAGGGTCGGGAGCAACGCAACGCAACGGTTTTACTACACTTCCGAAGAGTGTGACCAGAAATGTAATGCCTATAATCCCATATCAGTCCCGGATGGAAAAAGTAGGCATTGAATAACTGGCAGCTAAAGTTACGAAGTGCAATTCCCATGTAAATATTTGAAAAAAATAGTAATTTACTTGATATTTTTTTCAAGTTAAAGTCTGTTGCAATGAAGTTTGCATGATTTGTTATATCAGCAAGATATATGGCGCTTCAAAAAAAATAAAATAAAAATAAACAGAACTGTAACTTGTCTTCTGGACGATTGATTTTCAGGATGGGACTGATATGCGATTACTTTGCTTGATGGGACAAACTGACTTGATGTTGTTCTCACATTTTTCATGATCAAAGTCCGTAGTTTTATCATGTGTTATGAAAGTAGATGCCAATTGATAGTGGATAGCGTTATTATCTTAAAATTGACGAATATCCATATGGGACTGATATGCGTTTATAGGCAGTGTACACACCGAAAATTCACCAAAGATTTCAGCCAAATGATTTACTGAAAAGCAATCAGCAATCTACGATTTTACTGAAAATTAGCAATTTGGTTCGTTTTAACTGAAAACCAGCAACTTGACCAGATTGCTGAAAATTCAGCATATTTCATCGTATCGTTTTCACTCTGTCAAAATAAGATAAAAAAGTCGCCAATATTTTTGTTTTTCGACTACGCTGAGTGCAGTGTGCGTGTAGTTTTTGAGTAATTATTCTGCAACAAATTAAGTGCGTAATGGTTCCGAAAGTTCAGAAGCTCTGCTGAATCTGAAAGCTGACAGTTGTCACGTGGAGGAGTTGTTCGGTAAGTAGAATAGTTAAATACAACCTTGTATTTTCTTCAGTCTCGTGAGCAATGGCAGACACCCTGAAGTGTTTCTACTGCCATCAGTTGGTTGAGGGATATATTGATGGACTTCGACGACACCTTAAAAGTACACGAGAATAAACATCATTTTGATAAGGAGCTTGTGCACATCACATGCACTAAAAAAGGTTGCAGGATGAGCTACCGGAAGTTCAGTAGACTGAAGCAGCATATCATCAAAAAAACATCCCATAAGGGCACCAGATTCCCACCACTAACAGCAGCATAAACAATACCACCAACAATTCGATCAGTTACAGCCAGACAATTCCAGTTGCACTGAGGAGAACATCGCACTCATTATGGGCGCTGGAACCGCAAACCTAGTTGATGAGGTACTAAGTGACACTTCAATCGAATCTCTTCGAAAGATTGCATGGAAATTAAATTGAATTTGTTTCAATAAATCAAAATGATTCAAATAAACCGAAATTAATTTTGTGTTGAATAAACCAGTATGATTAGAACTTAAAAGCTGCTTTTTCGGTACAATGATAAATATTGCTGAATTCTATCAGCAAAGTGCTGTCAAATTATGCGATTGCCGAATTAGCTGAATTTTCAGCAATTTTATTAAATATGCTAATAATTCAGTAAACCTCTGTCAAGCAGAAGGAAATTTCACATTGATGAAAATTCCAGTAATTTTATATTGCTGAAATGATTACTGAAATTTCAGCTCAGCAAAATTCAGCGAAAAATTGCTGATTTTTAGCGTTAAAAATTTGGTGTGATAGAGCCTCTGAAAATCCCAACGACCTCGGCTGGGATTGATATCAGACGCACTGGGGTGAGAGGTAGCCATGCTCATCACTCAACTACTAAAGGCATAGAAGTATAATTGAGGGGCTTAAGGTGATTCCTTGAAGAGTTCAAAAATGGCCGCCACATAGGCTATAAATTCACTTCCACCTCAAATTTTCAATTACACAAAACTCAGAAATTAGAGTTCCATTTCACCTGAAATTTCTACTGTATGTATGCTGCAGCGCAGCAAACGTGGAGTAACAGTTTCATTGCAGTACGTGTCGTGGAAGCTTATATTTGTGCACTTAAAATTTCGAAGCGGTAGCGAGAATAAGGATCTCACAGCGAACCACCTTAAAGGGAAACATATCATGCAAGAACGTCCTGTGCATAAACTATAATGAATGTAATTCCTCATGAGTGGAAACCAAAAATAATTTTTTCCCCCTTAATTACGATTTTCTACCATTTTTCACAACTTTCCACGACAAACCAAACTAGAATAGAACTGTTCAAGTGTGTTTTATTCAAAATATTCAACATTTTGTGCAAAAATACGCGGAATCATGAACTAAATGTGATATACTGCATGATATGAGATGTTTTGACGTAGAATTACGTCTTTCGGCAACATATTGGAGGTGCAATAACAATAATAATAAAAAAAAAACAAAATCAATCGCGCTACGCGAAAAGTAGTCAGGTTTTGTTCGCTAATAATTCTGTCAGTAGCGAATGGATTTTAATTCTAAACAAGTCATTCGATTGGAAAGTTTTCTACGAATCTGATAAAATGAACACTCTATCAATTTGCAATAGTTTACTAATGAACATTACACAAATGTCCAGCTGTTGCAATGGTGATCACAATTATCACCGATAGCCTGCAAAAAGCGCTTTCCCTGCAACAGATTTCAAAATAGAATTCCATCTGGTCTCGCCGAACGGTGCTTATTCAATCATCACCACACACGGTGTCCGGTCAGTCATCATCAGCAGTGCTTTCGGCGCGTGGCGTTGAATATAATTCTCCAATACACGAAAGGCTGCCCACAAGCAGCGAGCTGCAGCCAACACGAGCGTCACATCATTGAAGAAAGAGGAAGAAGCCGCACCGCTACTGATCGGATTCAGTAGCTCTTCGTGAGTCGCTGTGGGCCATCTATGCCAAGCGCGTCACCCTCGTTCTAAACAACATACAGCTCGCCAGCCTCATCCGTGTTGAGCACCCTAATGATTTTTTTTTTGTAAATTAATTTATTTTTACAGGCTCAATCGAATAAACTTTACAGAGCCAAATTATCTTTTTCGTTATGCATTATTAATGTTTTAAATCTAAAGTTAAAATCTCAAGTTAAAGGAATTGAACCGA